TCGAGTTAAGAAAAGCGCGCGAGTTAAGAAAAGCGCGCAAAATCACTCGCCTTCGGCTCGTGTTTTCGCGCGCTTTTCTTAACTCTCGCAACATTCCCGCGTGTTTGGATCAGGCCATCCAAACACGGAAACCATAAAGTAATTGTATAATACCATTGAAATTTAATACAACGAAATAGCAACCATTGTGAAGTACGCATAAGATTCAACATGACATTCAACATGACATTCGATATAGTGTAAATTAACTCATTTCAATCGCTCAAACGACCATACAGGTCATATTAGCTAACTAGTACCTTTATGCTTTTTCTACTTCGACAATTTCAATCATAGTTTAATAATCGTTTTCAATTTATTATAGTAATTCACCGTTATACCTTTAAAAAGTTACAATAAGTTACATCTATAGGAAATAACGTTATTTAGTTATAAATTTGTAAAGGAAATCTAACAGTCAATCGCTTTCGATAAAACCTTGACACACCTTGAACTTATTATTACTGTCGCTTGCAACTAACGATGAACGGTCGCTCATAAAAACATTGCATTGAATCTTAAGTTTTCGTATTTTGACATAATAGCTATTTTTCAATGAATATATTGATATTAAACTTATTGAATCAATATTTTAAGTTTCGCGCCAGTTACACGCACACTAAAGGTTATAAGCGCTATAGCGCATTAGCGCATCATATGTTTCAGAAGGCATGCAACATGTACGCACTGCGTACCTATTTTTATTTTTATTTTCTGCGCTACTGATTGCCGTATGTACATTAAACTGGTGTTAGCAATCTAAATCGCCTCGTTTCCATGCTGGGAATCTGGTCATGAAAGATGATAAACAAATAAATCAATGTTGCATGTCATCATTTTTGTACCAAATTATCACAAAGTAAACTCGTGCACCAGTTTTACACGACGCTGCTAGACGGCATGTTGTAGTAGTTGTAGAAATTTATTCACACATTCCGAACGGGCTTTTCAGTGCTAATTTACATTAGACAGGATGCAAATTTAGATGGCATGCAAATAGTATACGTTAGTATTGATTTTGATAAATCTATCCAGTATCCGCTAAACTAGTCTTAAGATTATTTTAAAAATTGATTCCATTCGAGCATTATTCAATGCTAATCCATGTATGTTTTTTACATGCTAATATATTATAATTTTTCTCAGTAGATACTTTGGTGGACGATTTCCTCCTTACATTTCCACTATTTATGAACGAAGAAGAGCTGTGCTCAATACTCAAAAGATAGTATCCTTTTTATTTTAATTTATACTGCATTTCAATTGTGACCATCTGCATGTTGTTTCTACTAAGCTTAATCATTAGCTTCATTCATCTGCTTTTATATTATAATTTCAAATTCAGTCCATCACGAACGCTGCACCTTGCTATGTGATTCCCTGGGCCCTGGTGGAGTCGACATGCACACTCTGTTGTCTATCTCGATGGGTGTAGGTTGTCCATTAGTTACAATATTGTAGTTCGAGGGCAATACTGCAGCACTATATACAGTTAGGTCTTCGTTGATAACAGAACCTTCACAGGTCCTTCATTGATAGTTCTGTCGAAGTTTAACCTGTATAATTATATTTTACAGTGTTTCATTCAGTATTGTCTGGAACTTTTTATACTGTAGTAGATATCAAGTATATATTATTATGGTACAGTGTAGCTGATTGGTGATCCCGTAATGTCAAATTTACAACGGCTCAGATTCCTGAGATATGTTATTGAACCTTAACAGTGTGTTTAGCTATCGTGGTACAGTGAGAATACAACACGCTTTTCCGTCTAACGAAAAGAAATCACCTCAGGATATCGGCCGAAAACGAAAGCAACGGTAAAACGTGCACACTGTTTAGTGCAACACATGTTGTTTTAGTTGTGTACCGTATATTGTGTTCTTTATTGAGGTACTTACTGATGACTCTCGCATATATTTCAGATTGGTTCGTTTCATTCTTCGCTGGAACAAACTGTCATATCATATATTTTATGAAAATGAGCATGTCAAACAGCTACTTAAGGTAAATGCTTGAAAATGATACGGAGTGATTGAGTAAAGCGATCTTAATTATTCAAACACTTCGAAGTCAGATTTTCTGCAAAAATGTACAGGTTTAAAGAGCAATATATCATTACATTAAAGCTTTTATCGTTACTCATTTATTTCTTTATTTTAAGGGTTTGGTGTGCGATCTTGAAAAAGATAACTTGCCGGACGAGTTGTCCCTGCTGGAACAGGTTCTTGATCAAACATGCAATCACTCTCGGTAATGGCATGTACTGTAATTAAAGTTATTTTTCTTTATTTTAATATTTACAGTATATCCAAATTCCACGGTGCTTCCCAAATAATGCAATTTTGGTCAAACGATTCAGGAATATTTGCACATTGTTGACATCATGAAATTGATATTTTGGGGGGAAATACCTCGATTTGTCTGCGGGGAATTTTTTAGGTTTGCCCATTTTGACCGCAACGCAAGTTTTAATAACAAGAAAAACTAGTGGGAAGTCATTGTCTCTCTCAGGACTTTTATTGTCTTTCACTCAACATAAATATTATGTTCATTATATTATTATTTTTATACTCCGGTGTTTGTCTTTTTTATTTTGGTTATTCAGGTTTTCTAATGGTTACGATGATTTGATGTCGTCTGCCTTGCTTGAAAACAAAGTAAGTAATAGTCTAGAAAATAAT